TAACATTTATTTTTAATATTTAATATTTCTAACGTTTAATATGTTTAATATTAACATTTAATATATTTAACGTTTTCAAGTATTAGAATTTTAAAATAATGTTTTATCTTTTATGTTAATTAAGTGAATTCAGATTGATTTAATACATGTACTACAGTGCATACTGACCTGTTTTGATACGAGTAATACTTTGCATCCCTAGGTATTGTGCAGAGTTGCTTGCCGTAGCAACAGAGCACCTGTGGGTTGAATGTATATTTTCTACCGCAGCAATATCCCAAAGCCTGCATCACAGGATCTATCTCTTGCTCAAATACTTCTGAGAGCTGTTATTAACGGAAAAAAAAAAAAAACAAAACAAGAATTATGAATTAGACATAAATACGTAAATTATAGAAATTATATTCGATGAGATACTATCTCATTGAATAGACATTACCTTAGTACAGTATCTATAGACTCGAGAAGTCTTGCGATTGTAGAGCCAGGCATTGTCAAACATCATCCACACATCATCGACGTACTCCCACGGATCGCTATATTTCTCCGTGTCGAGTTTCTTCTTGATCGTCGACAAATTCATCGGTTTCTTTACGATGGTCGGGTAATCCGGTATACCTAACGCCTGAGGATCCACGGGTTGTCGGAACGGTATGGATTCAGGATCTTGTCGATACAGTTTCTCCAACGTCGGCATCAATGCCTGGCGTAACTCGTCAGGCTTGAACAAACACTTTTTCTTATCGGTGGACGTACCGCTTGGTTGAATCAGTTCCGGCACCATGGGTTTAATATCAGAGGTGGTCGCATCCTGACCGGAGATGGGAGTCATGCTCTCTTCCTTGATGCCAGGTTCCTCCTTTATGGTCGCCTCATTCGAGCCCTCTTCCATTGGCTCGGTTTTCGGCTCAGTCTTGATGTTAATCTCATTGTTCACACTCTTGCCACCGTCCATCCTGTGATTCTGCGGCTCCTCCGGCTCCTGTTTAATTTCCATCTTTATAGTCTCTTCCTTGATAGAATCCAGCTTGCCCTTATTGTTGTTCATCGGTGGACTGGGAGAATTGTCACGATCCAGAGCTGCCGTGATAGCGGCCATCTGTGAGGACATGGACGTGTTGCGCGGGGTGTTCAACGCAGCCCGTTCCTGCGAGGTCATACCCTTGCCAAGACTCGCGAGACCGGCGGGGGATGGCGTCGGGCCTGAATGGGGTGGTGTCTGGTTGGACGCGGACGAGACCGTCTGATTCGGTGTCATTAGCGACGGTACAAGCGGTGTATTCGGCGTGGAAGTGGCCGATTGAGGTCCGTTCGTCGTACCCGTCGTCGTCGTTGCGGATACGCCACCCGTCGGGCTCGGTCCACTGGATGCAGGCGGTGGTATTGTCTGCGGCGTTGATGTAGCGATACCGTTATCATTGGGTGTAGAAGCCGATAATGGTCGAGTGGGGAACTGCTGATTTGATTGCTGTTGTTGTTGCGCACTCGGTTGTTGCATGCTGAACGGTGATGGTGCTTGTGGGATCGATGTTGCCGAAGTGCCAACCTGATTCGAGGTGCTTGTTGGTTGTGGCTGCTGCTGCTGATTCTGCTGTTGTTGCTGTTGCGCCGCCTGAACTTGAGCTTGCGCTAAGGCTCTGACTTTCATTAGGTCGGGGAACTGATGCTGATTCTGAATAGGGGAGCTATTGGGTAAACCGGAAGCCGTACCGTTAGACGTCGGGAATTGACTAGTCGTTGCATTATTAGATGCAGTGGTGGTTGTGAGGTTAGCTTGGGACATTTGAGGCTGCCCAAATGGACTAAGTCCGGGATTCGGCACCATATTAGCGTTGGATGTGGACTGTCCGTTTGGACTTGGACCAGGAGGACCGACTAGGATCCCTTGTTGCTGCTGCTGTATCTGCTGCTGAGCTTGTACTTGTTGTTGTTGTTGAGCCTGCTGCTGCTGCTGCTGTTGGGTCTGCTGTTGTTGCTGAGGAAATTGCATTCTATTGTGCTGCTGGATGGCCATTGCAGGTATCGTTCCCAACTGACTCATACTGGGTGAGTGACTTCGTAAAGTAGGTGGTACCGTTCCGACAGGTTTCGATGTCCCTGGTATAACGGTCCCCACATTAGGAGGCGCGCACGGCCTCAGTCCAGGAGCGGATGTACCCGCTGGCTGCGGTTGCTGTTGCTGTTGTTGCGCTTGCAATTGTTGTTGTTGCTGTTCCTTCCGCTTCTGTCGTTTCTCGTCTATTTGATTCGAGAAATCGCTCTTATAATATAAGTTTTGAACTTAAAAAGAAGAAGAAAAAAAAAATTGTCCGTTTATTAAAGAAATGACAAAACATACATCAGTAATCACAGCAATCAGCTTCATAGAAAATAATTTTTCTATGACGCACTACCATCCGCGTTTGTCTCTTAATAAACCGCTAAATTCAAATTCATGTTCAAAACATAAATATTTCAAATTAAAAAGAACAGTAATATGATTTTAAGAATAATGAAAAAAATTTGAAAATAGTTTTTAATAATTAATTACCAAAAGATTTAAAAAACTTTCAAAGTCATTAAATTTGTGCTACTTACCAAGTTCTTTCTGAATTTTGTAGATTTTCTCAGCCAGCAAATGGTAATATTCCGACCGCGAGTTAGCCATTTCATACATATCGCCTTCCACTTTTCTCGCATATGCGACCAAATTGTGCATTCTTTTGTCGAGCATAGCTTGAGGATCAGGAGTTGGAAATATTGCTTGGACCCTGAGAAAATAAACAACGATTGTGTTATTATTTACTAGGAGAAAAACTGCAAACAAACATATGTATTATGTAATAAAGCTCTTACTAACAGTTTATGAACGAGATGATTCCTGAGATCTGGAGTGACAGACATATGCCATTCCTTTGTTCCTTGCACTGGTGTCGCTGTGACTTGACCAGACTGAAGACCACCTGGAAGCTGCAAATTAGCTAATCTATTCTCTCCGCCGATTACGCCGGGTTGTCCGGACTCGTTTAGTCCAAACAATGTTTGCATGTTGACGGACTGCTGTATATTGGCAGCGGCCGCCGCCGCGGCGGACGTGGGTCCGGTGGTCGGTACTGTCTGATTACCGGCTACTCCGACCGTACTAGGATCGGAATTTAAAGGAAGAGATACGTTCGGAGCGACCACTTGTTGCCCAGCACCGACTACGGACTGTCCCGGCGCAGCTGAAACACACATGGACGCCCATGGCACGTTTCTTTTCACATCTATACAAATCACATATTTTATGTTTTTAAAAAGAATCTAAATATATATATATATATCTTCATATACATATAAATTTAATAAATATTTTACATTTGAAAGAAATGCAAGCAATTAATAAACTTTCTAAGTAGAATATCGTACAACTCACTTTGTGTTTGAGGTTGTGCTGCTAATCTAACATTGCCCAGTGTGCCTGGCGGACCTGCCATGCCGGGCGTTGGCATTCTAACACCTCTACCAACGCCTTGGCCGGGTAAGAGTCCCGGTGTTGTTGTCGAACATTGAATCCCTAAAGCATCATAAGTCCTTCTCATCTCGGATGGACTCGGATTTGGCTGATTATTTGGTTGAATTGCAGGAGCTAATACAAAAATATATAATACAGATAAGTAAAGAATTATCGCGCACAAAACGTCATCTTTATAAACAAAATTTTTCTAAATTACCTTGCACAGAATTAGACCTGTTTTTATTCGCTTGTTTTATCGGCAAACAAACTGGACAATCACTTCGATTACAATGTTTCCAATGATTGATAATCTGCCTGGACATACTACAGTGCGGCACAGTGCAATTCTTGCCAGCTTGACAACTCGTCATGTGATTCAAAACGTTTTTCATCGTCTTACAATCCGGTAAGGTACACTGTCTCATCTCACCATTCGCTACACTTTCGCGGCGTTGGCATTTATGTGTATGTAGAAGTAGCACCAACTGCTGTTGAATAAGTCTACATTTTTCAGGATCGGGTGTAGATTTTGCAGTCCCTAAAGATAACAGATAAAAGAGATCTTGGTAAAGATATACCAAGTTTATTTAGCAATGTTACTAGAAATAGTATTTATAATAATGAGTAAATATAAACCTACCAGCTTGAGTCGGTACAGCCATTGGGCCTTGAGCACCTGGTTGGGGACCTGGCTGTCCTCCAGTTGACGCTCCCGACTGAGGTTGAGCGGGACTCGGTGCGGATGGTTGTGCCTGTTGTGCTGCCGTTCCACCTTCCTGACCGCCTACAACGTTCGTAGTACCAATAGGGCCGGCCGTTCCGGTGAATCTGTTGGCGGCTGCTGCTGCTGCTTGCATAGCGGTCATGTTTGTACCCACGGCCTTTTGTTGCGGTTTGACAACACCTACGAGATTATTGATGTATACAGTTACTTTCGGTCGAAGCCCACTAATATCTGCATAACCTGTATTATATTATAAATTTTATGTTCTCTGTTTTAGATCTAGTTTTATTTACCGATTTCTTTTCTTCGTATGCGTAAAGCAAGAGAAGATAGATTATATATACCATAACCGTATGGGCTCGATGCATTTATTTGTCCCATGTTCGGTAAACTCGTCATGTTAGGAGGAGCTTGCATCCTAGGACCGCCTTGATTGGGACCAACGATACCAACTTGATGCACTTGTTGATGAGGACTCTGTCCTCTCGCTGGGCCGACCATATGCGCTTGTTGTTGCTGCTGCATCGCCACAGCCCTCGTGTTCATCATGCCGGGACCGTTTTGCATCGGCGTGACTCCGTGAGGTCCGCTAGGATGATGTATCGCTTGAGTATTAGGGCCCATCATAGTTACCTTCAAAAAATCGTTCTTCATTAGTCAAATATCTTTCATTTTAATTTTTACCACAACATTCATTAATATGTACAAGTCAACGTACTGTATTTAAAGGTTTGTTCAAACTGTTGGTTACTATCAAACTTCCCCCGGCCATCCCTCCCATATTGTTGTTCCCGCTAGCAGTACTAGTCATCACTAATCCGGAATTCATGCCACCCGGCATCGACATTGCAGGGTTACTTCCGGCCATACTCATGGACGATTGCAGACCACCCATCGAATTTGCGATGGACATTTGATTATTTGCCAATGAACTGGCTATGCTACTCGGCAGATTACCGAGACTCACGACCATTTGCGGATCGACTATTCCCTTGGAGACAGAAACGTTCGGTGGCGATTGCATATTTGGACTCTTATTGCCTAGTGTACCGGCAGCCATGACCAAAGAATTCGCTACCAGATTCTTGTTGCCCTGTTCAACGATTATTTATAAAGTATAATACGCTATCAATGGACGAAACTAAAGTACCTAAATATAATGTAAATGTAATAATTAACACATACCTGCTGTTGAATGAGATGATGAGAAAGTTGTTGCTGCTGCTGTACATGTTGCCTGAGTTCTGAGTCGAGAGCACCATTTTGCTGCCCTGGACCAGGACCGGTTGCCGGTGGCTTGGTGCTCTCGGTCGCGGAACCCCAAGATGTAGACGATAGCAAGTCATCAGGAAGATCATTTTCAAGATCAAACATTTCTGTGTTTGTAATGTAATCTGAGAATGAACGAAAAAGAAAATTAAAAATTACATTTCTATAAATACCCATCATGTTTCCATTGCGATAATGGATACTGGCTATTTAGAAAAGTACATCCTTTATTACGTTTATGCAAATAAAATATAATATTTTATCATCTTTTGTATTTTACTATTTAATATTACTTTAATACTTTTTTTTTAATTTGATTTTAATTGTTGCATATTTAAAAAAAAAACCATTATATTAATTTTTTATAAACTGTTTTGACCAAAACTTGACAAGAGAATACATATTGTGGGTGTACTATTTCCTGAAATGACCAGTTTGCAGATTCAAATGATTATAATGAGTATGATATAAGTACCGCAGATACCAAGAAATCATTAGTAATTTTACAAAGGTAAGATTTCAGCGCCGTCACCATAGCTTTTAGCATCAAAATTTTAGCAGAGTATCAATATATATTTTTGATATTATAAATATATGTATTACGTACACATCATTATGTATATGACATGTGTACTATATCTCTATATACATGTACATATATTACTGCATGTATATAGAGACATATATAGCAAAAAAAAAAAGCGTTTAATTTGTTTCTATAATATATTATACAAGGAACACTTCTAATATACTATTAACATCTTTCAAAGATTTTCACGTATATATAACATTTATCAGCAAATAAAATTCTTAAAAACTTACTTATCTATTCACGACTGACCATACATTGACGGAGAAAAAAAGGGTGTACATATATAAATATATAT